AAGCAAAAAAAGCACTTACTATTTTAATACATTTCTTTTAATTTTGCATATTTTTCATTGATTGTAAATTTATTAATAATAATTTTTGTAACTGACAATCAGTGAGACAGATAAGCTTGATCCTTAGCTCTCCCTTAGCTTAAGCTTGATAATCGACCCCCAAGAATGTTACATCGACCCCAGGGGTCGGCATCGACCACTTTGGCGACCCCTGGCTCTAGTCTCTTCTCCTTTGAATATTTTAACCAGACAAAAATACATTTTGTACTGATTTTGATTCCCCACGCGACTTTGTAATTTAAACTTTGTGTTTATTTTTCATAGGAGCCAAGATCGAATTTAGCCCCACGAGAAAGGAAGTCGGGAATGCATTGGCGACAACACTATCGATTATCCATACTTTCGTGCAGCTTCTTGTATTTAGCTAATATGTAACGGAAGCAAGATGGCGTGTAGCCTGGTACAACGTTTTTGTCTAAACCTTGTATATTTAAAAGTATTTTTTATTTATGATAATTTTATAAATTTTTTATACAATATAAATCTTATATATATATAAAAGTGAATGAGGTAGATAAGCGCAAAATTTAAATACGGTGAAAACTGCTTAGGCGACCACCTGCATTCCACGGGCACCTGTCAAAACGGGCAAAAATTTCTGGCACGGAATAGTTTATCCATAGAGTCTTCGTATAAGTTACCTGTATTAAACGACCACCTGTGTAACGCGACCGCGGGCATCGATTTTTGGTCCGAAACAACATACAACACCTGTAATAAGCGACCACTTTCGCGAATGTATCTGGTCTAAACTATTGTAAGAACCCATCTCAACAACGTTTCCACCTCCTAATATAATGAATTAGTCTAAACTCTCGTTCGAACCCATCCCGGGCACTTCTCCCACCCTTGAAATTAGGTGCAGGTGTTAATAAATTAGTCTAGCAACAAAGGAAATTCATTTCAGTTTGTTGGAAAATGTCCGAAATGCAAAGTGCTGTCGTTAGAAGATCGTATTAAAGTTATCACAACAGCAATTAGCGGCGAAGTTTAACTGTGGGAAAACAAAATTTATTTTACCCTAGACCTACAGTATTTTCCTTGGGGGTGTAAAATATTGTACACGATACAATTAATCGGCTGATCTCATCGTTTGATAAAATCTATTTTTATTTATTTATTTTGAAGCTCATATACAGTACACGTGCGATAAATAGTTTCTGTATCAACCTACCTTATTTCCACGATATTTTTAGAAAAATAATATCCAAGTAATTTTCGCAGGCAAAATATTCAAAAAACAATAAACGCATTAATGCAAAAATCAGTTTTACTTCCTTTTTCGATTCCGCGATTGTAATGAAATCGTATAATGAGAAAAAATAATAAAATCGTTTTATTATTAATTAATAATTTTTCTTATTGTACTTAATTAATTAAGAAAATATTAAATATTAAAAAATACAGTATTTTTAAAGTTAAAATAAGATTAAACTAACGAAAACCAAAAGCAAAGTGATGGAGAGATAGGACGCGCTTGTATATTGATGACGTAATACACGTAACTGAGGAGAGAACGAAAAGAACCGAGTCGAATTAATTAAGTCGGAAAAAAGAAAGTGTGCATTATAATCGAGAAAATGCGACTATAGTATTAATCTTTAAAATATTGGTATTAAATCTGTCTTATAAAATCACAACGACTCCTGTAAATCGAGTTACAGTATCCGATAAGAATAAAATACAATAACAATATAGCCCTATCGTTGAAAAAATTCGCTTATTTTTGCTCATCTTCAGTTTTGCTTAGTGGAAATGGCTAAAAAGTACGCAAAATACGTACGGAAATGGACCACCTGTCTAAAAGACAGGACCACCTGTCTAAAAGACCACTTTTTGAAAGAACCGTGGGAGGCCGCCATAAACAGGTTTTACTGTATTTACTTATACATTTTCTCGTTTTATGTTACTCAATATAATTATAATTTATTATGTTTTTAAATTTTCCTTTGGGCGGAATAAAAAAGCAGTCAAGGTAGACTGCTTTTTTATTCCTTTGGCAGTCAAGGTAGACTGCCAAAGGAATAAAATTAAAAATTCAAATTATGACGTTCAGAAAACTTGAATAAATGAGACAATCAGTTTTCATGCAGCTTTTAATATACGAGAAAGAATTTCTTAATATATATATATATATAAATATATATATTAAGAAATTCTTCCTAATATATTAAGAAAATCAGTCTCCCCCTTTTTCAGTGCCGTAACTAGCCATTCTTATGCCCTGTGCAAGAATTTGCATTTAGGCCCCTTAATCAATTAGGTTTGGAAAAATAATAAAACAAATACATGCATTTTGGGCCCCTTCCAAGTGACCCTGTGCGGGTGTACACCTGTTGCACCTGCCTAGTTACGGCACTGCCTTTTATGAACCCCATGAATCACATAACGATGACCTATAATGATGGGTATGATTAAAAGACCCTCTTATGTGATTCATGGGGTCCATAAAGGGGGAGACTGATTGGTGAGGGACGTACCTGACATATTCTGGACAGATCTATGAAAAATTTCTAGGGTTCATCGTCAGAACTCGATTCTGGATCCCCAAGAGTGGTACGCTGATGCCTTAACCGCATCGGCCATTCGACGTTTTTCTTTTAACAATTTTTTCCGCCTTGTGGCACTAAGAGAGCCTTTTTAGCTAGATCATGCGCGGTCGGGTGGTGAGGAACGAGGTCCGATTTATCAGGATGAACTACCTCTAAAAATTTCTGAGGTTTTTCGACTCATTCGGATTCGATTCCGGAGGCTCCAGAGTACTAACTAACCTTAACTGCATTGGCTATCTGGCCGTTAATAATAGCCTATAATTATGTTTACTTAATGAAAATCGTCGATGAAACATGCTAAACGATATTTAAATACTTTAACATGTAATAATTTAAATAATTTAATATTTATTTAAAATAAATATTAAATTATTTAAATTATTACATGTTAAAGTATTTAAATATCGTTTAGCATGTTTCATCGACGATTTTCATTAAGTAAACATAATTATAGGCTATTATTAACGGCCAGATAGCCAATGCAGTTAAGGTTAGTTAGTACTCTGGAGCCTCCGGAATCGAATCCGAATGAGTCGAAAAACCTCAGAAATTTTTAGAGGTAGTTCATCCCGATAAATCGGACCTCGTTCCTCACCACCCGACCGCGCATGATCTAGCTAAAAAGGCTCTCTTAGTGCCACAAGGCGGAAAAAATTGTTAAAAGAAAAACGTCGAATGGCCGATGCGGTTAAGGCATCAGCGTACCACTCTTGGGGATCCAGAATCGAGTTCTGACGATGAACCCTAGAAATTTTTCATAGATCTGTCCAGAATATGTCAGGTACGTCCCTCACCAATCAGTCTCCCCCTTTATGGACCCCATGAATCACATAAGAGGGTCTTTTAATCATACCCATCATTATAGGTCATCGTTATGTGATTCATGGGGTTCATAAAAGGCAGTGCCGTAACTAGGCAGGTGCAACAGGTGTACACCCGCACAGGGTCACTTGGAAGGGGCCCAAAATGCATGTATTTGTTTTATTATTTTTCCAAACCTAATTGATTAAGGGGCCTAAATGCAAATTCTTGCACAGGGCATAAGAATGGCTAGTTACGGCACTGAAAAAGGGGGAGACTGATTTTCTTAATATATTAGGAAGAATTTCTTAATATATATATTTATATATATATATATATTAAGAAATTCTTTCTCGTATATTAAAAGCTGCATGAAAACTGNATTATTCTTTTAATCACTATATCAGTGTATTTCTATTAATAGGACTTATCATACTGGTGTACAAGATTGCAGACTCACAGTTACACAGATTAAAATTGTTTTATTTTCAATTACCTGGTAATTGAAATTACCAGGTAATTGAAAATAAAACAATTTTAATCTGTGTAACTGTGAGTCTGCAATCTTGAACACCAGTATGATAAGTCCTATTAATAGAAATACACTGATATAGTGATTAAAAGAATAATTTTGATTAAATTAAGGACATAGATGCATACTTTTATTTTATCTTTCACATTATTTTTAAAAACATTATATTTTTGCAGACATAATTTCATAAATTCGATATTTTAAGTGTAGAAACATTGCAGTTATTTTAATATACAAAGCGTCCGCCAAGAATAAAAACTTTAATATTTATCGAGGCAACGAAAAGTAACTTTAAACTTACGTATTATAGAACATGAAAGTGGCGTAAAATATCGAAGAACCACAACTTTTAGTCTTCGGACGAGTATCACATACCAAGATGAAACGAGTTGAAACACCTAAAAGTCAATGAACTTTGTTTTTACAACAGTATCAACTGAACCTAGGTTAAGTCGTAACTAAGCGAAAGTCTTTTCAATTAATTATCCTTTTCAGTAACGTAACCAGGGAAGAGAGGCCAGAGAGCCGGGCAACCTTTACCTTTATAAATAAATTAAGAATCAAATTAGTACAGGAATAGGCAGCACTTATACTTATGTAAGAGGTTACTCTTCATCCATAGACTAATGGCTACATCCACAGTGGTACAATGGTAAATGTAGGTTTGCACGTTCTAATTCCGTCCCCCCAATATCGGCTCTAGTTATGATTCTGGTTCTTTGAATAATTGTTTAGTATTGAGAAATATGTTAATTACTTTATGTTGGATTGCTTTCAAATTTTGTAAATAAACAGTGTTAAATTAATTAAACATTTTAAAACAACAAACAACTAGAATCATTATTTTACATTCGATTGATAGATATAAAAATTATGATTTATTGTTATTAATTAGTCTGTTTTCACGGTCGTTTACTATTAGTCAACGCCTTCTCAGGTAAAATAATTTGAATTGCAAATCAAGGCAAAAGTCAAGGAAGCCAATGAGAACTGGAATAAATCATTTTAAAGTACTTTGTTTTTACTCTTTTCGCCCTGTGGTCAAATAAGAGAGCCTTTTACCAAGCACATCGTGGGTTCGGCCCACCACAATGGGGCGACATCCGGTGAACAGCAATGAGCAGTTGTATAGTGAGAGACGGGCCCCCGACATATCCGGGATAGAACACCTCCCAAAAACATCCTAAAGCTTTTTCGACCCGTTTTAATTCCTTTCCGGTCCCCAGAGCGGTGGAATGACACATTAACCGCTCGACCATCCGGCCGTCCATATTAAAGTACTGTATGTTAAAGTATAGTCACGCAAGTATAAATAGCCAATGAGATTGCGAATATCGAAGTATAAAATCACTTGAGCATTGCAGAATTATCAAAACATCTAAAGAAACCGATCGATTGTTTTTCTTTTAATAAATCCCCGTCGCTGATTTTTAATAACAATCTATATATCAGCAGAAGAAGCTATTCACACAAGATCATCTTTTAAGGTATTTAACATAACATTGTTTTGTTTACTTGCATTACGCTATATTTCATATATATTTTTAGCTTCAGTTTAATATTATTTATAATAATATTAGAACAATTCTACTTAGCGATATTTTACACGTATTGTACTTACAAAAGGACTGCATTAATTATCGCAAGAAAGTTGTTACATAATTACTCTAAGCAATTTTAATTAATTTTATTATTTATGTTGAGCGCTTAATACATAAGTAGGCAACAAAATAATTTTATATATATAGTTTTAACTTTATGTATTTTTCGAATGTACCGTAATTCTTTCTTATAAGTTTTTAGCATGTCTATAAAAATTTAATAATTAGTTTTTGAGGGATTAATATTTTAATTTATATTTAGCATTTATACAAAAATAAATGATTTTTTAATTCAAATTTTGTATGTAGAATACGATTCTTTTGCATAAATAATTAGATTCCTGTTAGTGATGAAATGTTTTTGAGTATCGTAATTATTTATGAAGATATATTTCATGTGCATACTTAAGTTTTGTAATTCAATGTTTGTTTGTTACGACAACGCAACACTTGAGCAATCCGCCTAAGGGGATGCCATTCGGGAGGTCTTTTAAGAGTAATTGGCTCTTATTAAAACGTTAAAGACGTGAAGTAAACCTAGAAAACTTTACGTGGTCAGCCTGCCCTGGCGAGCGAAACCACGACCGAACTACCAGTGTTCAGGGAACGGAACTGCTTGGCCACTGGTGGGCTTTATAATTCAAATGATAATGAATTACCATCAGTTCTGTCTGGTAAATGGTAACTATATACCATAAAGAAATAACTAAAACTATTTTTTAAAACTCTTTCCGTCAGATGGACATTAGAAGGGTCTTTTTAGCAAGTCCTTTATGGATTCGGCCAGGCCCATAACGGGACAGCCGGATGGTGAGGGACGGAGCCAAATATTTCCTAACGTATCCCCCCCAAAAAATTCTTAAGATTTTCCTAAAGTGATGTTTATGAAGCAATAGGAATTCAATTTTATTGTTTTCTTATTTTTGGTTAAGATAACAATAAAATTGAATTCCCGTGCGTCATTCATTTGATGACAATAAGGTATTTATCGAGAGCACTCAAGAATGAAACGTTTTTATTAATATTTTATTTTTTACGATTTCCAATTTTTTTTTAAACATTAATAAATAGTTTTGTAAATACATTAGAACTTCGTTAATCAGGCACCTATGCAGGGGCGGGTCAACGTAGAGACTAATAGGGCTTAAATAGAGCAAAAATTGAATTATTATCATAAATTTTTAATACTTTTTCATTAACAATGAGCACTTATCGTATAGTAAAAAATAGTTTATATTAATAACATAATAATAATGATAATTTATAGTATTATTTGTTTTATTGTAATCAATGTAACGTAATTGGTCAGTAATTAATCAATGTAAATATTTCTTTATTTCTTATGTTTTTCTATATAAGATATAAAATTTGTCATTCAACACCATTTCATAAATAAATATATTTCAACTCTGATTTTGATGTTATTAGAAATAAATTTTAAACTCCAATTTAAAGATTCTTAATCTAACAAAAAATGGGGCCCCATTGGACTTCAATAAGCCTAAGTCCCGAAACACCTAGATCCACTCCTGCACCTACGGACCAGAATAAATTATCGAATATGCCATTATAGAACATCTTTGTGTTTTCGCAAAATTCGACCATTTACATGCGATCTGAACGTTCAGACATTGCTGTACAGTTTGTACCAACGTTGGTGCTGTATGCTTTCGATTTGTCTTCGCAGGCTCTTTAATCAGTCCGAAGATAATTCAGTGCATGATTATATTGTGTTAAGATTGATAGAAAAACCTGAAAACGAAATTCAAAATCTTCATTCCTCTTTTTCTTTTCTAAATATTCATTTTTCATTAAGTTATTCTTATTAAATAAGTTCAAAAAATAAATTTCACGTCATTTGCCATTTTCTGGTTTTTCTTTCCCAATATCCCAGTAGTCAGCGTTTGTGTTCTCTCGAAACCCCAGCAGTTGCATCGCTTCCGGCAGCTTTACCACTGGATTGATGCTGAGATTTTGAATATGCCCTATATACATCTACTAAAGTTATTAATTATTCCATTTTGTAATGTTTTTCCTAAAATTTTTTCTGATCATTTTTACAAAAATTTACAATCCCGAGACTCGTATAACATATAAGATAGACTACTTGTTAATTTTTCATTATAATCAATGTTTTTTTTCTATCAGATTATCTACACCGCTTTGTAAGTATTGTAAGAACTTTCAAATCTTCAAATTTATTACAATAATAAATGGATTTTGTAAAAAGTTAATTTAAAGTTGTGGATTTGTAATTAATTTATAAACAAATCTTGTGTCAGCTAGTTGGGCATAAATTTCTTGTTTACTTTGCCGCGGGACCATATCGCCCCGTGGTAAGTTTTGTATTTGCCACGTAATAGTAGTTGTATGCGTTTTTTTTTTTTTTTTTTTTACTCTTTCCGCCCTGTGGGCACTAAGAAGGCCTCTTTTTTTGCAGGCCCATTATGGGTTCGGCCAGGCCACCAATGGGGCTGCCGGGTGGTGAGGGACGGGGCCCGACATAACCGAACGGACTACTCCCGAGAGATTCCTGGGGATTTTTCGACCCGTTCGGATTTGAACCCGGGTCCCCCAGAGCGGTAGACTGCCACCGCTCGGCCGTCCGGCCGCCAGTTGTATGCGTTTATGGTGGTCATTACGAGGAGAATAATGCATTCCGCGAGGGCTTTAATGGTAACTGGCCCCTATTGAGGCGTTAGACGTGGAAAAAACCCGGAAAACTCCACGTGGCCAGCCCGTCTGGGCGAGGCGCGAACCCACGACCGAGCCCCCCCCCACAGTGTGCAGAGAACGGAACCGTTTGGCCACTGGTGAGCCTTTCAAACAAATATTTTCAATTTATTTATTTTATAAAAACTTCGTTTTTAATTTTTTGGCTAGTTCATACGCCAATATTTGTACTTTGCATATTTCTTGATTTAAAAAGTCAGCCACTCAGTTATAGCATATTATATTACAAAATTCTATAGACTACAGTGGTACCTGAGGATACGAAATTAATCCGTTCCGAAACTGAGATCGTATCATGAAAATGTCGTAAGGTGGATCATCTTTTCCCATACGATTACATGTAAAACCAAATAATTCGTTCCAACGCGAAAAACATACTCAAATTAAAGCCAAGTAATACATTTAAAAAAATAACTGTAGTAAGAAAAACAAATGAAAAATGCGAACTAATGTAACGTCGTATGGTGAGTTTTTGTTCG